AAAGCTAAAGAAAAATCATATAATCAAATCATTACATATGGAAAAACAAGACATTCCGACAGCTATTTTGACAAACTCTCAGCAAGTGAGGAATAAATACATCCTCAAATTGACAAAGAACATATCTTGCAACTAACATCTTAGTGAAAAACTAGACACTTTCTGCAGCTAAGACAAAGAATAAGGCAAGGACATCTCTTCTCAGCACTCCTAATTTGCAATATCCTTGAAGTCTTAAGTCAATAAAATAAGACCAGAAAATGAAACAAAAGGTACTCATGTTGGGAAGGAAGATATCAATTTGTTCTCTGTCACAATTTAAAATATCCCTGAAACTTACAAGTTGATTAGAGCAAGGTTGAGTTGCAGGACACAAGGGCAATGTACAAGCGTCATCTGCTTTCCTATATATTAGGAAGCAAGTGCAATTTAAAATAAAAAAATAACATCACTTACATATCCAGCAAATATATGTAATATATGTGCAGATAAATTAAAAAGTATATATATAAGCCCTACATGATAGAAGCTACAAAACTTTGATGAAAGAAGTTAAAAATTAAAGAAAGACTGTAGACACAGATACAGGATGATTCTATATTGTTAAGATGCTATTTTTCCCCAATTTGGGTTTAGTGAATTGTGGGATATTGACAAACTTATTCTAGTGTTACATAAAAGGCTAAAGACTAAGAATGGCAAGCCCAATATTGAAATAAAACAAACTCATAACTACGTCAAAACTTACTACAGAGCTCTATACTCAAGACAGTATAGTACTGCCAAAAGAATAGACACATCCATTAGTGGAACAGAAGAGAATCCAGAAATATGGAAATATATTCAAATAAAACAATGGATCAATGATGGGCTTTTCAACACAAAAACACTAGAACAAATGAACATCTAAAGTATAAGTGTCTTTGGGTTTGGCAATGTGTATATTTTTTTTGAAATTTTTTATTTAGTCATTGTGAAATTACAAAGTTATTCACGGTTGGATTCAGGCAAACAATGTTTCAACACCTATCCCTTGACCAGTAACCACTTCTTTCTTACTGAATAACAGTTCTCATGTTCTTTGTGGCCATGTGTATTTTAATTAAAAATTGCTGGGGGCTCATGAGATGGCTCAAAGAGTTGGACATAAGCCTTTCAAATGGAGGCATCAGTCTGATCCCCATCACAATGCATGGTACCCCCAGTAACTCCACTTGTGGCCCTGGTGACCCTATGAATATTGCTTGGGAAGTCCCTTCCAAATTTGTTGAGATAATATTGATTCATAATAATATACAGATTTCACGTATGGCAATGAGTCTTTAGATACAACATCAAAAGCATATTCCATAAAAGAAATAATTAAATTGGGATTCATGCAAAAATAAAACTTTGCCTCTGTGAAGATAAATGTTAAGAGAGTTACAAGACAAGCTAATGCCTGGGTGAAAGTATTTGCAAATACCTATACTAGCTCTCAGACATGTGCCAAAAGTTTTGTTTTTTTTTAAGTCTACCGTAACTCAAAAACAAGTGAATAAGAAATTTTACTATACAACATTATCTTTTTATGGTTATGATGACAAAGAACACTATGAAGAATACAAGAACAGAATCTGAGAAGTCCATGTATTGTGGATTTACCTGTACTATATTCCATGAAACTGGTCAAAAGGTCAAATAATGACTGGATTCTAACCTTCTAGTATAAGCAAATATAGATACTAAGCCCAAAAACCATTAAATATTTTTTGAAAATTCAAATTATTTCAAAAAGGCTTGTCTTATTTAACTATCTTTTATTTCTACTTCATAAGAAAATATTAGACTTCATGTAATAGGTAACTCTTCAGTTGAATGAATATATATACTCTGCCAACATAACTTCCTTTGAATTAATTTTAAATATGACTAATGAATAAAAATATCACTGTAGCACCATCCTTCTGTTGTTCATCGATTTGCTGGAGTGGGCACCAGTAACGTCTCTGTTGTGAGACTTGTTACTGTTTTTGGCATATCAAATATGTCACAGGGTGCTTGCCAGGCTCTGCCATACAGGCGGGATACTCTAAGTAGCTTGCCAGGCTCTCTGAGAGGGGCAGAGAAATCGAACCGGGTCAGTCATGTGCAAGGCAAACGCCCTACCTGCTGTGCTATTGTTCCAACGATATGAAGAAAATATGAAGAAAAATAATGTCAAAAAGTCAGGGTGAATTCACATCTTACCACAACTAGTAAAAAACAGGAATTAAAAACTCCATCAGAAAGTAGACTAAGGGCCAGAGAGATAGCATGCAGCCAATCTGAGCTCAATCCTAGGCATCCCATATGGGCCCCTGAGCAATGCCAGGAGTAATTACTGAGCACAAAGCCAGGAATAACCCTGAGCACTGATAGGTGTGTCTCCCAAATAAACAAATGAAAAAAAATAAAAGAATAAACCTTTCATGTATTTTACTTTAATTGTGGGAGCTCATTGAGCTTTCCATTTAACTATACAACACGAGACAGGCTGCATTCACAGGCATTCATTTCAGTAGAAATTCTGAATATAAGAAACTTGAAAAATATTATTTTCCCCAATTCAACTGATTCTTATGTTGCCATAAATACTAAGAAAGAAATAAGTATTTAAACAATTAAGCATTAGTCAAAACTTAAAATAGATCATTCAGCCTAGAATAAAGTCATTTTGAAAATTAGCATTGAACAATGTTATTTTTGTTCTTAGTCATCCACTCTCTTTCAATTTAATTTTTTTATTTATTTTTATTTTTGGTCCACAACCAGCAATGCTTAGGGTTTAATCCTGGCTCTACAATAAGCAATCACTGCTGGAAGGCCTCAGGGGATCATATGAGGTACCAGGAATGGAAACTGGGCTAGCTGGATTCAGGGCAATTTGCTGTCCTATACTATCACTACAGTCCCATTCTTTCCTTTTAGAGATATATAAAAGATATATTTTTATGCCCTTTATATAGATAGAAAAATGTATAAAATTTCTTTTATAAATATTATATGCAGCAATAGCACAGCGGGTAGGGCGTTCGCCTTACAAGCGGCCAACATGGCCGACCCGAGTTCGATTCCTCCGCCCCTCTCGGAGAGCCCGGCAAGCTACCGAGAGTATTCGATATGCCAGACACAGTAACAACAAAGTCTCCAATGGAGACGTTACTGGGCCCGCTCGAGCAAATCGACGATCAACGGGAGGGCCTTTACCTTTACCTTTATATGCAAAAATATAATTTTAGACATAAAATTCTATGATGTTCCAAAAGCATATTTTTAAAAACTTCAGATAAACCTTAATTTAAGAAAACTGATTAAGGGGACTGGAGCCATAGCACAGCGGGTAGGGCATTTGCCTTGCATGTGGCCAACCCGGGTTTAATTCCCAGCAAACCATATGGTCCCTCAAGCACTGCCAGGAATAATTTCTGAGTGCATGAGCCAGGAGTAACCCCTGTGCATCGCTGGGTGTGACCCAAAAAGCAAAAACAAAACAAAACAAAATAAAACAAACTGATTAAGTCTTCCCCAACCTTCCCCCCCCCCCCCCCCCACTGTATTTTTTACCACCAAATTACTAAGCAAAAATTTTCGGCTGTCTTCTTTCCCTTCTTATTATTTTGCAAATTGTTAAAAATTTTCTAGTTTTATTGACATATCTAACTTCATTTAAAAGTTCTGTTTTAATTCTCAAAAGGCATGCACGTCTGAGATAGTTCATGTGAAAACACAAAATCTCTGTGAAGTGGGGACAAGCCACCATCATTCATCATGATTTCTGTATGAAGTTTATGAAAGAAGACAGAAAATACTACAATTGAGCTATAATAAATTTCGTGTCTTCTATAATGAATTTATTATGCATGTGTTATGAAAGTTAACTTGACAGAACAAAGGAATGTTTCCTGGGCTTTATGAATGCTGTATTTATATACTGGAATTGAGTGAAGGTCTTATTAAATTAGTTTTATAAAAATAAAGATTACTGGATATCATGACCAAAGATAAAATATTCCAGTGGTGATATGTGCACCAGAAATCTTACTTATAACTATTTGAAATACAAGTTTAGGAAAGATGTAACTTCCTATTGTAGAATAAAATAGAGTTTGCATACCTTAAGAGAAAAGTAGAACATTAAAAGACTTTAGTCAATTTTAGAGAAAACATTAGCTAATAATTAAAAAATATAAATTTATATAAAGAATAGATGGCAAGTGAAATAATGTCATGGAGTCTGTGGATAATAGCTCATCTTATAAACCAGGGGAAAAAAATTACAGAGTATGTTCACAAAAATTGAGACAAGGAACTCAGAGTATGAGAGAAAATGAAAAATGTAGGTAATGACTGACTCGGGAAATTTGGCATACAATACCAAGAGTTCCAGAAAGAAGTAATGAAGGGGGAAAGTTATTGATAACTTAGGAGAAAAATTTCCAGAGATGGAGATCTTCAAGGATTTGACAAAGCCCAGAAAGAGTGTGCAGAAGGACAAAAAAGCTCATACTCACATCTATTATTAAATTCTCATATAGTGGGAAAAGGTGGCCACCAAACTAACCTTTTACAAGATTAACTCTTTGCGATAATTTGAATTTTGGGAAAATATTAAAAATTTTATGACAAACATGAAATTCAAAATGATGTCATTTGTTTTCACATTTAATATGTAACACATCATGGTAATACTGATAGAATCAAATATTTATGATCACTGTAAAAATCTATAGTTTGAAAGCTGAGAACATTTATAACTGGATGAAATCTGTTTCATGAGCTTTTGAAATTTACACTTTATATTAAAATTCTTAACAAATCAAAATAAGGCTAATGCATAATCAGGCTGCTTGGTTTGACTGAAGCCTTCCCCAAATTTGTGCGAAACTGTGCCAGCATGGTAAGAATATACAACTGCGGAACAAATACATTTAAAACCACCAGAAATATAGCTGCAAGACGAATAAAATGCACATAATTACCTGCGGCAGGATCTGTAACTGCTTGGCTGGTGATGCCAGACGGTGGTTCCTGAAGCTGGTAGGTGGCGTTGGTGGAAGGCGTCGTGGGGCTGGTGTTGCTGCTTGTCATATAATGGGCTGGGTACGGAGAGCTGTTATAATACTGTGCATACTGCCCCTGGCCAAAGCTGGGATAAGACGGATAGTCCTATGGAATCAAACCACACAAGAACAACGCTTCAGACTACTGCTACTTCAAATTTACGTATACTTCAAAGCGTACCTTAATGTCCTTGTGTTCTGTGTCTTTTTTCATTTATAAAAGAGTGCACACTGATTGAAGTGTTTAAGTTTGAAAACACATGTTTATGTAACATCTGACATCCTTTCCATATTCCATGATATGTAACTAGGGAAAATAAAGCCAACTGGAAACTGAAAAATTCAGCATTATCTAAGTGAATATAAATTTCCTCACCATACCTAAAGAGTGTTTTTGAAGAAGTTATGAAGAATTCATATATATATATTTAGGTTTTACATATATATGGCCTAGGCATAATTGTACAATGTAACAAAGATATTAATTTATATGAGGAAATCTGTTGCATTTTAAAATTTTTTAGAAGTTAAATTGGCTTTTAAAATTACCTGTTGTGAACTGTTAAATCCAGAGGAATTTGTGAGTGAATTATTTCCCGTATATAATCCTGATGAAGTTGTAAAACTGCTACCTAAAACAAAATGAAAAGAGTTATGTTGACTAAACTATGTAAAATAATGTGGCTACAGAAAATTGTGAGGTAGAACAATTATTTGCTCGAGCGGGCCCAGTAACGTCTCCATTGGAGACTTTGTTGTTACTGTGTCTGGCATATCGAATACTCTCGGTAGCTTGCCGGGCTCTCCGAGAGGGGCGGAGGAATCGAACTCGGGTTGGCCATGTTGGCCGCTTGTAAGGCGAATGCCCTACCCGCTGTGCTATCGCTCCAGCCCTATATGTCCACTGCTAGTGCATTTGGCTTATCTATAATCATTCTATTCCCCTGATATGACTTTTTTTAAAGATGGCTGTCAGTTTTAGTTTCAAAATATTACAAAGGATATGAGTAACATATAGGCTATGGAGAAAATTTTATGTTAGTGCTGAAATATTAGACACTGAGATCATTTTTAAACATTCAGAGCCAGAGAGATAGTATAGCGGGTAGGGAGTTTGCCTTGTAAGCGGCCAACCTGAGTTAGATCTCTGGCATCCTTTATGTTCTCCTGAGCAAAGCCAGGAATAATTCTTGAACACAAAGCTGAGTAAGCCCTGAGCATTGCCAGGTATAACCCTCTACCAATCTACACGTGTGTGTCTGTATAAAACAAAAAACAACCCATAATTTTTCATACCTTTATATTTAATATGATTAATGTAAAAGACAGGTTTAGAAGAGATGATCTTAAAATTTTTTGCTATTTCAAAATGGTATATTGTGACTTTCAAGAACTAAAAATGCTTTCGAACTTGTACATGTCATTATAAGATCCACAGAATGAACTGTCATACTTCACAAAGCAAGAAAGACACTTGAAGAATTGATAAAGCAAAGAAAAACATGGTAACAATATTTTATATGTTTCAAGTGCTAAGTACAATTTGATTGTTAATGTCTATATATATTCAGAATATAAATACATTGTGCAGGATAAAAACACAAAAGCAACTCAGTGAATACTTGACAATGCTACTATTAAACTATGCAAAGCAACAATATACAATTTTTGATGATCATGGTTTTCAGACAGTCTTAAAAAGACAAGAGAATGGCAAATGCATATACATGGTTGTCATATGCTACCAAACAGAAAACTAAGTAGATGCAACTTTTCTTTGGTCTGTTTGGCCAATGACTGACAAATTTTCCCTCCAATTTAATCCAGAATTTCTACTTGCCAGGTGGTTAGCTCTTTGAATAATATGGCTTTATACAAAAATATTTTAAAAGCTTGTGAATCTCAGGAATGTTGTCTATGAGAGGTAAAACAGTGATCAGATAATATTCACAAAAACAATATGAATTGTGAATTTTTCTTCACAGTAACTATGTTGCTTCTATGAACAGAAAAAATTTTTCAACTAAAATTTTGGAACAAAGAAATAAGTGCTTGCCTTGCATGCTTCTGACCCTGGTTCAAATCCCTGGCACCACATATGGAAACCTCACATCAACTGGGCTCACTCCTAAGCACAGAGCCAAGAGTAACTCCTGAGCACAACACTGAATATAGCCACCAAACGAACAAAAAAAATTAGAATTTTATGGCAGATGCATAGTATAGGCGATAAGTGTGTTGAGAGTTTGTGAGAAAGTTTTAGCCGAGATAAGTTATTCAAATACCTTTAGGTATGTTAATTAATGACAACTATGTAAATGCTATTGATCATCTAAGAACTGATTTAAGAATCAGAAGACACAGTTTCCATTCCATCACATATGCACTATTTGGACTTTGGACAAATCACCTACATACCCTAATATGCCCTAATTTCCCTATCTGCAAAATCTTCATTGAGTTAAGTTGACCAAATGAGGTTATGCTTCATAAAACCAATGCTTCATAAAACCAATAATATTTAGTATCACAAATGTTGGAAACAATGATTTCGGTAAATATTTCTAACTTCTCTACTGCACTTATGTACCTTTTATCCCTTTTGACTAAAATCAGATAAATCTGACTCAGTATCTTTGCATATCTAAAATTCTTTCCCTATTAACTTTCCAAGAACCTATTTTTATTAAGAGGGGAAATATTTTCTTTGGGGCCGCACCCAGTAGTGCTCAGAGATCACTCCTGGTGGGGATTAAGGGGCCATATGGGAGGGATCAAACCCGGGTCAGAGGCATGCAAAGAAAGTGTCAGTCCACTGAACTCTCTCCCCAGCCTTCAGGGGAAAATACTTTGCAAGCTACTTCCAAATTTAGTTCCTATACAGTCACATAATGAACACTCTAAAATTTCTTATAAAGTAAAACTTAGATTTATTTTATAAATCTAAGTATATACATAAGTATATAAATATTAATATTCTTCAAATTTAGTTACTACATATATTTGATAGGAAAATTTGCTTCTGGTTATGACTTGCTATATTCATCCACAGTGTACTTTTTTTTTTGGATATGACTTGCTGTATCCATTTCTACTATGCATTTTGGAACAATAAATACTGATTTAAATAATCTATATCTGCCAAGAAAATGAATAAAGTGGAGAGTATGTGTTCCAAAAATGGAGGTTTTCATTCTCTAAGCTATTCCCTGGAACAAAGGAGAAAAGACCACGGAAGCTATATTGGCACATACAGGCCACTGGGGTATGACCAAGTAAGTCACAGATCAGTACTGCAGATGTACCCAAGCGACTTTGCAGACTTCATTCTAGTTCTAAGACTGTATATGTGCTACAATTCAACATAAGTTATAGTCATTTGCTGGCTGACTTCAGGCTGAGATTCTGTTCCATTTCATATGCAGAAGCGGGCGTTTAATGGCACTCCAGTGGCCTAGGAGACTTAAGGAAACTTCCAAAAGATCTAACTTACTTTGGAGAAAGGAGTATATTTTGGAGATTTAGGGTCTAGTAATTTTAATTTTTTTTTTTTTACTACCAAACTCAGATTTGCAGGGTTGACGACATACACTCACTCTGGACTTACGCAAAGAGAACCACAAACTAAGCTCAGCCACCGGCATTGTCTTGTCACTAGCAAATCTCCTTTATGGGTTTTCTCCCCATTTTCTGATTCCTCTCCACCTTCATACTCCAAACAGGCAGCACAGGCCTGAGGAGACAGCTTGAGGACTGGAGTGCATGCCAGGTTTGGTCGCCTGCACCTGGTGGTCTGTGACAAAGGAATAACTGCAGTTAAGGTGGAAGTGGAGTTGGAATTCAGGATGGTGGGGAGGCAGGGGTGACCTGAAATTCCAGTCTGGCAAACACCTCAAGTGAGTGCTTCACCTCAAGTGAGTGCTTCACCATGTTTAAGTACCACTTCAGTGGGTACTAAGCAAGTGCTTCAAAGTTATGTCACGAGTAGAAACTTCTTTTTCTATCAAGAAAGCAATCACATTCCTCAAGTATTTATAGGATAGAGGTGTCTCAGAGATTCTTCCCAGTAGTTCTGCTTCTTGAATTGATACAAGACTCTCAGAAAACAATCACACTTGAGAACAGGTGTCAATACCACTAGGCAAAGTCAATGGAAGTCTCAAACACTGACATGTAAAGACAAAAGAGCAATGACACCATTCCCAAGAAAGCTTCCACATGCATCTCCTTAGTCCTACCTACAATCCTATAAGAAGGCGGGACTCCTACACTATCTATCTAGTGAAGGACTGGCAGGAGGGTCGCACAAATCCTTCCCTTTAACATACTTGCATAAGGATGATGTCACGAGAACAAAGCATGTGTCATGACTAGGAAAAGCAAATCCTCCTTCTATTAGGATCAGTTCACCAAGGGTTTCTGCTGATTTGTCACATATAACTTTAGGTAACAAAACTAAATATGTTTTAGTATTCTGAATACCCTCCCCCCACACCAAGACACAATGACTATGTGAAAAGTCACCTGCCAATGAAAACAGAGTGGGCATATTCTATGACAAACTGATTTTACATTTTACATAACATTATATCACAAAAATTCCACAAAGGAGAACCAATTCCATTTAAAACTCATTATTCCTCAATGAAGGAATCTGCTAGGGATGGGTTTCAGCACAGCTCCAATTATATCCAATATTATTCTTGGTTAATTTGGAATTCAGTTAAAGTCTGAAAGGGGTGGAGGTGAGGAATACCTTCTGAGTCATTCATTCAAAAGGAAGTTTCATCTATTTAAACAGTTATGACTGGGAGACTGGGGCCCCACTTTTCTGACAGGGAGACAGTGATTTCCAGAAAACAACACAGGGATATTCTTTCCTTTCATAATATTCTTTCCTTTCTGCATTTTATATGATATGAAAGATAAAAACCAATATCTTAAACTTTCCTCAATACCTCATTCCTTTATTCTATGCCTCAAATCCCAACCTCAGTCTCAAGTAGGTCCCATCAACACCTGTGCTGGCCTCTGCAGAAGTAACTACTCTAGAGCCAGACTCCTGAGAATTTTTATTCGTGACCCCTTTTTTTTTCAGAGACATTTGTATATAACCCTGTGCATCCAGGAGCATAAAGTAAGTATACAAATTAAATACTGATAAAAGATCATAAATAAATCTATTTTATTTTTTGGGGGGAGGCCATACCCACTGGTGCTCAGAGACCGTTTCTGGTGTAGTGCTCAGGAGTGACCCCGAGCAATGCTCAAAGAACAAAACATGGTGCTGGGGTTCAAACTGGCTTTGCTGCATGCCAGGAAAGTGTCTTAGTTCTTAGACTATTTCTCCATACCCATAAAGAAATTTATTCTATTTGTGAATAAAAATGTGAAGCAAAATTGATTTTTATTAAACAAAACTTGCTTAGAGAGATGTGAGAGGAGAAAAAGAGCAGAAATATGTGTTAAAAGAGAACATAGGCTTTCCAGAGTAGAAATAAGCAAAGGAACCCAGAAACAAGCTAAAAATAGGTGTTCAACATCCCAAAAAACAAAAACAAATGGTGTTGGCATGGATGTGGGGAGAAGGGGACTCTCCTTCACTGCTGGTGAGAATGCCAACTGGTTCAGC